TATTTATTTTTAATTTAACAAATAAATAAAATTTATCAAAAATCGTAATAATTTTCTCATGACAAAGTTTGCCATATTTACTGATCTCTAACCCAAAAAAAAAAAAAAAAAATTGTATGAAACTCAATAATGCATATCTAATGTCTTTATTAATGCTCATTGAACTATCAATAAACACATGCTTAACCTCAAATATCACTTTACAAAATATGCAAGCCATGATTTCAGTGAAATTTGACAGCTGTCAGTTCGAATTGAATTGTAGAAATAAAAATCAAACAAAGTAAAAAAAAAACTAAAAAAAAAAAAAAAAATGCGATCAACTCAGTGACACCTAAGCCGACAACATGAACTTCATGGACTGATGTATTTTGGCTGTGTTTTTTATTTAATTTTTTTATTTTTTCTAATAACGACTCTAATTAATTCATATAAGCATTATAATCATATGACTAAGCTTAAGAAAGCATCTGAGGTTGAAACCTTGTCATTTCGAGTGTTTTGGAAAAGTCTTTCATATAGAATATAAAAAAAAAACTGTAAAGCATTTCATTTTCGATATTTTCGGTGAGTTCTACTAAAATATATGGTGACGAAGGCATTATTTCAAAATGCCTTGCAAGAAAAGTTCACTAATTTTCCCAGTAACTCCAAAATACTTCTTGCCTGCAAAGATCAAAGCTTTCTGACCAGGGCCGTAGAGAGAAAACTGGGGCCCGTGGAGGATTTAGGAAGCGGTATTTCTGAACCAAAATTTGTTCGAGAAAATAGTCTGAAAAACAAAACTGTTGCAGAGCACGGGTCCACCCTCTGAACTTCGAGCTTGACAAGAATTGCGATCGCTTTCCCTTCCTCTTTCGCTCACAGTTAGTGACTAACACAGTTTTAGTAGAAGAGAATGTGAAAACACTATTTGGTGAGAGCTCGCTCAATAATTCTACCTAATCTAGTTTTAAGGCCAGGAAGAAAAGATTAGCAATAAAATGAGTGTCTACTAATTTTTGTGGAACGGTTTCAGTCTTCAGCCGCGTCGACAGTACTTGATCGAATAAAAAAAATCCGGGTCCGTTCCGGGTGCGTAGACCCGACTGTGGTGGGAATGGAGTTACAGTCTTCTAATAATTCTTGAATGGCTTACTAGAGATTTATTTTGATATTGGAATTATTGAGTTTAATCTCATATATGAGTACAGTTGGAATACTCGTTCATAGTTCCAAACTTAAAACAGTGCAGCCGAGGGAAAGATAGTACAAAATCAAACACTCAAGCTCGTATTGGAACAAAGGGTTAGGGAAAGTTGGCTGGAATATATTGGACAATCGACCGGTAAGTAATTTCATTTATGAATGATCAAAGTAAGTGGTAAGTATAAGACTGTGATCCTGATACAACTCATTTAACGTAATTTTAAGAGTGCTCTTGTTCTGTTGTTGTGAGAGAACTTAGACAACAAAACTGAAAAAGCTTTAAACTTTATGTTGCTGTTTGAAATAAACAGTTAGACATGATGCTTCATATTACAGAAAATATAATATTTCACTTAACTTATTGAGACTTTTCAAAATTATCATTAAGAAGATTAAGAACAAGGTCTAAAAGAAAAAAAAAATTAACGAAGCCAAACAATTCTTAGAAATAAAACGAAAGCAAAGAAAAGAAAWAATAAATAAATATTTCATGCAACAATTATCAAAGAAACCACAAAATCACTTGAGCTGAGCATTAAAACAACAACGCAGAGTTCAGCAAATCTCACAAATTATTTCATAAAACTCCTCTAGGATGCAAAATAAGTAAAAATCCATGCAAAATCACATTAAAAACAACAAAAAAAGTCAACAAAATAAAACTCTTTGCAACAAACGAGTATTCAAAGTGTAGTGAAACACATAAACAACAACAGCAAAAGTATCCATCACTTTCAACTCACCTGAAATGGCCACCTGAACGCCGAAATTGGCCGTACCGGCTTCCGCATTCACCTCCGTATCGGCGGGTTGAGCCTCGCCTACATCGAGCGTGGTGCTGCCGTTCGCCGGGGGACGCAGCTCGGTGGCTGGTGCCGCTGAATTGGTCATTATTTGTAATGGGGATAATTGTATGTGGGCAATGTGATCGCTAGAGGAGGTCGAGCCTACATCCTCAATGGTAACGGTGCTGGCGTTCGGGCTGACTGGTGGCAGCGCTAGATTACTCAAACTGTAGTCGTGTCTAACTGCAGCGGCGGTTAGATGCCGACTATGCGACGATTCGGCTGGTGGTGAGGACGAGGATGTCGAGGTGTCGGCGTGTTGGGTGTTGTTGCGGCGTGCTGAATGCGGTGAACTGTGCGCGCTGTTGGCGCTGCGACCACGTGACGGTGTACGACTGGGACGATTTATAAATCTGTGAAACAAGAATGGTGGTTACTTTTAATGCGATTTTTTGGATTTAGTTCATGTTAATGATAAAATTCGATATTTTGGAGAACATAAAATTTGTATATAAAAAATTATATGTATATTTGATTTTTATTTTTTCTTCAAACTTTTAGCACAAATTTATACTTAAAATTATAGATTTCATAAACACACTCACAACAGCACTTTTGAGTCTATGACGTAAATAAAACTTCAAATAATGTAAATATGTAAATAAAAATAGAAAAAATTATTTTAATTATTTACTGTTATGTTAGAAAATTAAATTGTGTACTAATTTTGCGTCTGTCGCTCAACTTAACGTTGCCAAGCACGCTAAGCTACTGGCAAGCACGTTCAAATCGTCCAACGACATTCACCAGCGAGTCAGCCGTGAGCCGGAGCGCGCTCTATTGGCACGCAGTGTGACTCAAAATACCAAACACAATACAAAAACATGATTTGTATCTATGAAATACACTTATACACGTAAACAAAGCAGCAACGCACAAACAAACTCTCCTCTAGCGTCTTGGAGCAACAACTATTTCAGCGAGCAGGCAAAGAGCCAGTCAGACAGACAGCCAAACAGCCATGGAGCGGAGCAGCAGGTTTAACAGCTTATTTRAAAAGTCGCTTTTGTTTGGTGTTGTTGTTGTTATAGTCGCTGTTGCGCGCAATATCCGTCTGCATGCTTGTATGTATGTATAACGGCTGCCTGCACGTGTATGCGTGTCTTTCTTATTGTTTACCATTGATTTTGTCATTTTGGCAGTTATTGCTATTCATCAAAACGCGCATAAAGAAGCCGTCCAATACAAATTTCGGCAAAGCAGAGTATCACATTTGATATTGCAAGGGGAAAATACTCGAAATTGGTTTGGTGTTGGATTTTAAGGCGGCAAAGGGCACTGGTAATTGGAAGAAAGCCGGTATGTTGGCAAACAAAAGTGGCAATAGTACCCAGTAGTGAAATGGAGAGGCTTGAAACCAAATACAAGTGGCTTATTACAGTTACTTCAAATGATGAAATGCTCGTAATCTTAATAATCTTAGTATATTATTATTGTGCTTAACAAGTCTAATTAATATAAAATCAAAAAAAAAAAAAAAAAAAAAAAAAAAAAAAAAAAAAAAAAAAAAAAAAAAAAAAAAAAAAAAAAAAAAAAAAAAAAAAAAAGTTACCTTCGCTTACACCGAAGCTAAAATAGCATAAAATGAGATAAAAAGAATGTTTTTTTTTGGTTTTTTTTTTTTTTTTTGTTGTTTTTTGTTTTTGATTAGTCAATTTGTATGGTAGCTGTATGCTAAAGTGATCCAATCTGGACAATGTTTTTGGACTTTGTAGCGTTGTCTTGGACTATAATCTGAGCCAACTTTCGTGAATTTGAGTTTGACCATTTAGTTTGCATGACAGGTATTTTTTATTTTTTTATTTTTTTTATTTTTATTATTTTATAACGGTGTGATGACTCATGCCCAGCTCTTGACCGATGCTACGTCAGCTACTATGCAATGCTACAACTCAGCGATTTTATCGCAATTTCCGACGACAGACCTTCCGAAGAGTGGCGCATCTTCGACCACCTCTACACCAGAACGAAAACGTTGAAACCATCGTTGTGCGGTGGAAATGGAAACTGTATCGGATCCATAAACTGCACAAATTTTAATGGCGGCTTGAGATGCATTTTTGCCTTTATCGTAGTAGTACTGTAAAATATGCCGTATTTTCTCTTTATTTTGCTCCATGTTTGCGACGTTATAACTCACGAACGACTTAAAGGAGACGACAATCAACCAAACGCGTGTTAGCGCGTGAAATGAACTTATAGTAAATAATGGAAGGATCGTTACATGCTATAGAATATATTCGAAAAAACGAGAGTTGAGATGTGATTTGAGAAAATTCGTTAGGACACACAATCTCTTAACTTTGGGACAACACTTCTTTGATCTTAAATATTAAATATCACAGTCTTAAAGTGCTTAATAAATACCAAATCTTGAAGATCAGTAATTGAAAATGTATATACATATATAAAGGAGTGTTAGTTACACCATTTGTGCCTCAAGAACGGCTGAACTGATTTGGCTGAAAATTAGTGAGGTAGCTTAGAACCAGGATAAGGATACCTTTTATATCTTTATGTCAAAATGTAATACAACTCATTAATATAAAAATTATATTTCAAATCATAAGCATTTGTTCAAAATTCTTGTTTGTAGGAATCATATGCGTACAATTTTCAACAGATTCTTCCCCAAAAATAATAGATTTGCTAAGTATTTGGAATAGTAGCAAAAAACTGCAACAAAATACGCAGTGAGTAGATTATAACTGGCTCAGTAATCAGTCGTTGAGCATGTATTATACCACGTGCATCCCAAAAGACTGACTTTCCTGCCGACTTTTTCGTCCTTCCACGCTTGAGAACCGGTTCATCATGTGCAGTCGACTAGAATGACTGTCGATTGGCCTCCAGTGGGAAATGGTGAAGCTCTGTTTCATTTGTCACACACCGACGCAAAAATTCGGTTTTATTCCGATTAAGGAGCACCCAAACACTTCTCAGAAGCAGTAACCACCAAAGTCACTTCCATGTGAGCCGTTGGTAATCAGATTCCTAATATCAAGTTGACAATTTTTAGGAAAAAGTATTATCAAATTGTGGCTTTCAAAATGAAGATAAAGCCATGCACGTAAGTGGGGACACAAAGATCTGAAGAGCGATCATTTTTAGAAATATATGTATATGCAGATATCCTAGAAATCTAGAAATATATATAAATACATTTGTCAATTTAATATGTATCTCAATCGCTCAAAATATCAGAAACCCCATTAAACAACCTTTGCTATCATTACTTTAAAGGCTTTATCAAAGGACCCTTTATATTGGAGTCAAAGGGAGAGTCCAGAGAGTAGGACCGTTGACATCTATATTATTGTTTCTATTAGTAGCATCCTTTCTTAGTCGATAAGCATAAATATATAAATAAATAAATAAAGCCGAAAGCCTATGATGCTAGCGCTGCGTACTTTAGTTTATTAAATAATTTGTTTATGATGTAAGCTTTAATAAAATAAAATAAAAAAATWAATTTGCAGTTTACTAGGTTAGTTCGTTAGTTTTCTAGAATAAGAGCACTTTAGCCATAACTATTTAATTTTTATGCTCATTATATAATGTATTTAATTCAAGCATCTTTCAAGGTTCTATTGAAGATGGCAATTTTTACACTCCAATAGCGTTAGTAGCTTGGAAAACCACTAATTTCACCGCTAGGTTATCCGAACTCCAAAAAAGTAAAGTCACTCAAGGAGGTATGAATGAATAAGTGTGTCTGTCGGTATGTAAGCGAAATGCAGATAAAAACGAAACAAAATAAAAACAAACAGAAAACACACTCAAAACAAACCGACTGCCCAACAACTGTTTGCTTTAGGTAGGCAAACATAAGCATTGTGCACGCAAGCCAATACAGGGTGTATTAATTGGATTAATTTTTATTAACTAATTCAACAAAAAAATTATGATAATTGGATTAATTTTATTAACTAATTAAACGAAAAAATTATGATAATTCACCAATTGGAAGGCAAAAGCGAAATTTGGCTTGAATTTTGAATTTTTATGAATTTAATCTCAATTCTGTGTATAATAATCTAAGTCATAGTCTGACAGCCATATCTATCGGGAAAGAATAACCTAATATGGAGATTTCACCACTTTCATCATAACTACCGAGAGACCTGTAAGCACTTCGCTATTGAGTCGTTAATCGTATTAAACTTTGTCTTTTGCTTTTTTGAGACGAAGGCCTAACCAGCCAGTTCCCGTAGTTTCCTGGTCTGTTTGTAAATTTCTTTAAAGGTAATATTTAAATAAGTAAACTAATATTTTTACCTTCCGGAATCGACACCCTTTTGGAAAAAAATCCATACAATTCTCCTTTAACGCCTGGCAACTCAATTTGCGCCAGACGTGAAAAGTACACATTCTTATTGGGTAGATAAGCGCAACAACGCGTACCAGCTGTAGTGCAGCCGCGAACTGTGCTGATCTCAGCTGTGAATCGCAACATTGATTTTTGCACACCTTTATTTTCGAATGAACATGCTTTTGTATTCAACAACGGTAGTTCACAAACAAATGTATATAAATGTGCAGTTGGGAAAGTCATTTCTGAACAAAACAGGTGTTCCGTAGAGTCATTATGACGTTACTAAGGTTCAATAGTAATAAAATTTCTGTCACAGGGTAGATGGAAGTTCCCGTGGTGTGCTCGGTATTCTACCGAACTTGGCTAGAATGTATAGTCGACGCGAGGATATCTTCTTCATTCAGTAAACATGACAGGCTCGAAAGAATCGATACTTTTTATAAGTGGTTTTTAGAAGTGTGGAATTTCATAGAGGATAGCTACAAACCCAGCTGTCAAGATAAACACTTGTGTTTGACATATACTTTGGAAACATACCTTGCAAAAACTCATAGAAATATCGGGAACATAATATTCGACAAAATTGTATTTCTATTAATTTTAAGAACGAACCCCGAATCCCTATACCGAGCTTGAAAGAGGTTTAGAAATAAATCTTTTGAAAATAAATTTCCATTTACATTACAGACGCCTGAAATTAAAAAAAATTATAACATAAGCTAAACAAAAAATCCCACTGAAAGTAATCAGCAAAGCAAAGACTCGCCGAAATATTCTTTAAAAATTGGGGGAATTCATTTTGAGGGAAACTTTTATATTTTACATTCAAATCAATTTTAGCGATGAAGCAAATTTTTCATTTCAACAGAATTTCAGTGTTTCAAATGTCAACAATTTTGAAAGCACTTTGCACGCACAAAACGCTCCTGTCTTATGCAGTGCGCATGCCCAGGATGCATTCTATTTTATAGARCTGTGGTTGGTTTCATCCACCACCACCAATGATGAGCGCTACAGTTCACTGATTCACAAGTTTTT